TTTTTTTTTATTATTTTTTTTTAAATTGTTTTCCTTCCTTCCTCCTTTACACGGACAAATATTTTGTAGGAACCTTCATCCTTTTCCCCTTATTCTCCTGTCCCAGAGGAGCAGTACAAGATCCCAAAAAGGCTGAGAGAAAAAAAAAAGGAATTAAAAATAGATTTATTTTTCTGGGGTTGTTTAATCTCTCTGAGTCTGGGTTCCTGTGTCAGGAGTGCCTTGCCATGTCCTGGAGATGGAGACAGAGGACTCAAGGGCCTGATGCTCCCCCATCTCCCACCAGCACAGCCCCCAAGGGGAGCACAAGGGGGGCAAACTAAAGAGAAAAAGAGAAGAGTGGCCGCAGTTGCTGGCTGCCAGCACTGGCTCTGCCTCCCTGCCCGGCCAGCATGAAGGCCATCTGTCACCTGACAGATCAGCTGGACACCTCTCTCCATCTCCATCTGCTCCATCCAGGCTCCGTATGCACTATGTCTCCTCCTGCTCCACCTCCCCTGCRGGCTCTGCCCTGTGATCTCAGCCTGTCCTGGAGCTGGGATGGGCACACAGGGCCAGGGGGTGCTCAGGGAGCCCTCAACTCCATATGGAAACCCACGGCTCCTTGCTTGCTGCATGGGCTGCTGATCCTTGCTGACCTACTCACAGTTTTTTTCACCCCTTATACCTTACTTTTCACCCGTCGTACCTTATTTTTCACCCTTTATACCTTATTTTTTTCAAGGCCAAAACTTTCACTCTGGTGGTTCATTTTCCTCAGAGTTTCTTCTGGCTCAAGTTTTATGTATAATTTTTTAAAATTCTTTGCCSAAGGAAGCATCAAAAGGAGCATCCCTGCTCAGAGGGATTCAAGCCATGGCATGCACAGGGGACACTCATCTTGCTGAGCCCCATTGCTGCTGTCCCACAGCTGTGACAGTCACCCCAGGACAGGGGARAGCACAGGACACAGCTCCTCCAGAGGAGGATGCTCCACCAGGGACAGCCAGGGAACGCTGGGTCTGGGTCAGCAGTGCTGGCAGTGACCACCAAAACTCACACCTTGACTCTATGAGAACTCAAATCAGTTATCAATGTCACTGGCCAAATTTCCACAGATTTTCCTGGGGACAGGAGAGGGCAACACTCCAAGTCCCTGTTCCACAACCTGGCAATGTGCCAGCTTTCCACTGGAATGATGGATTYTWWATTTATTTATTTATTTTTAATACAGGCTAAAATAATTTTCTGTCATTACAGCTGCTGATACACCTGGAAAAAGTGASCTCTCTCTCCAAAGCCTCATCTGCTGGCAAAGGACTGAATCCCCCCAGCAGATCTTGGGGTGTTTGGCTGCCCCAGCTCCTCGTCCCTCTGGCTGTGGCTCTTTGCWCTGGAACTTGGAAAGAAAAATACTCTGGGATGGAAAATTTCAAGCCCAAAGGGTAAAGTTGGACAGAATCCAAGTGGGACTTGGCAGACAGGCACAAAAGTTGTTCGTTGTGCTGACATTTTTGCTCTGTGCTTTGGAGAGCCTCTCTGCAGCTCTGTTCCAACCAGGTYGGGCTCTGCCAGTGTCAGAGTTGATGATAACACCACCACACGACCACACGTGACTTTCTCAAGTGGTTTTTTTTGGGTTTTTTTTTTGGTTGTGGGGTTTTTTTGTTTTTTTTTTTGGTCTCTGGAGCTGTGGCTCTGGGATGCAAACGAGGCTGCTTTGAATGAGGGATGTGCTGGAGACTGCTGTGACTCCATCTGTCTCCCGGGAATTGTTCCACTCAGATCTTGCCAGAGGATGTGAACCCATCCCTGCAAGGTTTGAGGAAAACTGCAGAAGGACCTTCATGGGCTGTGCTGAGTCCTGAGCTGCTCTCCATCAGGAAGGACCACACAGCACTCCAGGGGGACCCCACAGTGCTCCAGGGGGACCCCATGTGTCACTGARGCAGCCCCCAAGTGCTGAGGCCAAAGCTGTGGAGAAACAGCCTGTGCAAGGGCATTTCGAGGGTTTAAACCTTTTTTGTGTTACTAAAAGGTGTCTTTATGCTTTGGGTAATTTTTTTTCCAATAAAGAGTAAGGAAGCAAATTCAAGGTAAAAAAAAGAGCAAGTTGATGATGAGAGATGTGCTGCCATTATTTTAGAGAAATTATCACCAAATTTGATGTGGGGTTACTCTCCTCTCCTTCCCTCCAGGGAGCACTGTGGCATCTCCTTTCCCCTGGATTTTGCAGAGAACAGATTTGTGTTTCTTATCCAGGAACAGAAATGAAGCTCCAGGAGCCTGTGCAGGTCTCTGACTCCCCTTTGTTGACTGTGTTCCTTGCTCAGGAGGATGATGAGAGGCCGAAGGAAKGCCAGGACCTGTTCGTGGTCAGGAAGGGGCCGCTCATCCCTGGGGAGGGGGATGTGCCTGTGTCCGGGAGCAGAGGTGCTTGGAGCACCAGGATGCAGGGTGACCCTCAGTAGATGCTCCTGCCCCTCTGTGGGTCACAGCCCCCACCCGAGACAGCAGCGCAGCTTGGATGTGGTTTTGAGTGGAGCACGGGGTGGTGGTCACAGTTCCTGACTGTCCTGTGCTTGAGGGGACAGCTGGGAGCAGCCAGGAGGGTGACCCGGGGCTGGCTGTGGGTTGGGTGTGCTGGTGGAGCTGCTGGAATGAGCCCAGAGGAGGCCACGGAGATGCTCCCAGGGCTGGAGCCCCTCTGCTCTGGAGCCAGGCTGGGAGAGCTGGGGGTGCTCACCTGGAGAGGAGAAGGATCCAGGGAGAGCTCAGAGCCCCTTTTGGGGCCTAAAGGGGCTCCAGGAGAGCTGGAGAGGGACTGGGGACAAGGAATGGAGGGACAGGACACAGGGAATGGCTTCCCAGTGCCAGAGGGCAGGGATGGATGGGATATTGGGAAGGAATAGTTCCGTGGGAGGGTGGGGAGGCCCTGGCACAGGGTGCCCAGAGAAGCTGTGGCTGCCCCTGGATCCCTGGCAGTGCCCAAGGCCAGGCTGGACATTGGGGCTGGGAGCAGCCTGGGACAGTGGGAGGTGTCCCTGCCATGACACGGTGGCACTGATGGGATTTGGGGTCCCTCGAAGCGTTCCCTGACCCCAGCACGGAGCGGGGCGGGCGCGGTGTCGGGGCCGGGGCGGTGCCTCCTCTGGGCCGCTGGGTGGCGCTGCGGCGCTGTGCCCGACGCTCCGCGGGCCGGTGCCGGGGACAGCGCGGGGACAGCGCGGGGACAGCGCGGGGACAGCGCGGGGACAGCGCGGGGACAGCGCGGGCTCCGGCCGCCATCGGGCACCGCGGGCTCGTCCTGCTGTCCCTGCC